TTTTCTTGTAATTGTTCAAAAGGTTGCAACTATCGTGAACTGATACAATCTTGTTTGGAAGAGACAAATTTCTAGGATTTATTTTTTATTCATATATCATATTATAATCATTTTAATGAAGATGAATAGAACACATACTTAATACAAAGAAATTCATAGATTTCGGTTTATCTCCAATAATTTCTTTGCTATTTTGGGTTTCTTGAGTTTCAACTTTTTAGTACAACAACAATAGTGGTGGAGTTTGAGCAAAGATGAGGTGACATCTTCGGTGATGGCGAATGTATGATTTTATGCATGAGGCAGACCTTCCATCCATAGGTTAAAATGTAGATTAAGTAAATCTATGATCTTTTCAAACCGTGATTGTTCTAGTTTGTTTTGTAATAAGTGTGTGGGTGAAAATCTGACCACACTACCCGTTTAGTGATCAGCTGGAGAGCACAGGCAGAATAGATGACTTTAGCAACCTGTAACAGAAAGAAAAAGCTCCGGCGGTGGTTCTACCACCCGGGGCACTCCGACGATCAAGTCAGTATATCTCTCAAAGATAATCAAGTGCTAAACTGAATACTCAAAACATAAATTACATACCTTAGACCCACGGGAGTGCCTCTCTTTTATAATATACTCAATCCAAGTCCCATTAGAAGTATGACTTCTTATGAACTCCAATTTACTGTTCACTCTGGACTCTATAGGAGATAAAGATAAAACTCCCTAAGAGCTTTATCCTTATCTTGGTTAAGTCCCCTCTTTGCTTTAGGACTCTTGTCTCTTATCTCGGATTCCGATATCCTCAGAGATGACCTCGGCTTCTCCAAGATTACCTCGGCTTAACTACCAGGGCACGTGGCACCTCGGCTGACACGTCGGCGTCACCATGCCACGTGTTGGTATTCAGAAAATACATCCCCACAACTGCCCCCTAGGTTCTATTACCTCGGCATTTTGAGGTGATGGAACCTATTCCGATATTTTGTCACTTCTTTTCTGAGTAATGGTTAAAAAACTGATTAGCCAAGATTATCCACTTTCAGCCGATGTGTTCTCTTCGGAAAACAAGGCTTCGATCGTACTTTCCCACGTGCATGAGCTGTCATGCATATCTAACCGTTCCTTTCACGTGTTTTGTCTTTATTGGAGTGTGTCAGTGACGCGCCTGAAGGCTGTCTGTTCGTTCGTCTGCGCCGTCTGACGCGTGCGTTGCTCTAGGCGCAATAATTGCCCTATTTTTGCCGCCGTTTCAAATTTTTGACAAAACTCTTTTTTGCCTCTTCTGTTCCTTTACTTTTTCATTCTGTCTTCTCGTTCTCTCTCTTTCTGAAAGCTTTTTCTTCTTCGAATCCGCCATTGCTTCGAAATTTCTTCTGGAACTGCTTTTGAT